CAGGATAAAAGTAAAACCTAACCCACGCCCAGTGCAGTTGTCCTTCTCTGGCAGCTACCCAAATACATGCCTTTCGGGGATGGGGCTGTATATCTTGCCTATTAGAAATCTTTACTTTTCTATTAAAACTTCTCTTTTCCAGGGCCAGCAGGTGGGGTCATGGTTAAGGTGTTGGACTCCTACATGGCCACCCGTGGTTTGAGTCCCGGACCTGGCAGCTTCCTTTCTCCCTTCCCCCCCCATCCTTCTCTCTCTGGTGAGCACATGTGCCTTGTAGCAAATTAAAATTTAAAAAATAATAATAATAATAAATAATCATTTTTTTTAATCTTTTTTCCTACTTTTCATGTGTTTGTGGTTTTTCATTTTGCATCTCAGAACAGGTCTCTTAGAGATCTAGGCCTAAAAGACTGACACAAATAAAACCCCTTGCCTCAGTTTTTCATTGGCAACCCATTTTCTGGGACCCATCCCTTCTTCTTGGGAGCTCTGTTTTTTCCATCCCCCTCCTTCAATAAACCCTGTGTCTTGCTATACCCTCTCTTTGTGTTCACATCTCTAATTCTTCATGAGCGTGAAGTAAAAACCCGTGTCCCACTGAGAGTGCTGGGCCTGAATGATTACCCCTGCACCCCTGTGTTCCCACATCAGCATAAAGAACGAGTGGGGCTTCCTATCTGTCTCTGTCTTTCTCTCAGAAGAAATAAAACATTTTATTTCTAATTTTTAAAAAGTAAGATAAGACAGAAAGAAATAAGTCAGGCCGTAATACAGCCACTGTGGAGAATAATATGGAGGTTCTTCAAAGACCTACAAATAGAAGTACTATATGATCCAGCAATTCTACTCCTGGGTATTTACCCAAAGGATAGGAAAAGTGCTTGCATATCTATGTTTACTGTGGCATTATTTACGATTTCTAAGATATGGAACCAACCAACCCAAATGTCAACAAACAGATGAATGGGTTGAAAAAGTGTGGCGCATATACACTATGGAATATTACTCAGTCATAAAAAAACATGACCCTGGCATTTGATAGAAAGTGGATGAATATGGAAGATTTACTGCTGAGTGGAGTAAGTCAAGCTATGAAAGAGAGACTTTATATGTCTCCACTTAACATATACTGAGTGTTCACACTCCATGGCGGAAACTGAAAGATCAAAGGATATAGAAACATGGAAAATGGTTATAAACACTGGAGACAGTGCAAGAAGAAGGTGGGAGATGGAGAGTGAGAGGAAATGAGTCAAGGAGAAAAATAGAGAGGTAAGACATTTGAGGGACACAGAAATGGAAGACTGTTAATAATAACCTGTATGATATCTTCAACAGGACTGGTAGGAAGTGTGTTCATGCTGAGTAAATTCACTTTATAAGCTATAGTAATGTACAGTGATTGAACATATAAAATTAATTAAAATAATAAAATTTAAAACTTTTTTAAAAAATAAGTCAAGCTAAGGAAGAGATAATGAGGACAGTTTTCAGACTTACTGAACTTAAGGTGACAGTAGATCAACCAAACAGGGACATCCAGTGCAGGTATCTTTAGAGGTTTGGGGCTCAGGAGAGAGAAAAGCTAGAGATAAAAATTTGGACTACTTGTCGTTTTGAAGATGGTCATGGGTAGAGTGAAATTGCTCCAGGAAGAGACTCTATAAAAAAAGAAAGAATAGTAGGACCAGCAGTTAGGGCAATGGCTATGTCACTGGACTCCCACGTAGTCAACCACGGTTCGCGTCCCGGACCCGGTGGCTTAAAACTCACGCTGGGCGAGCGTGCCTGCGTGCCCAAGATCCAGAAAGGAGAATGGAGGAGAAGGGATTGCGGCGTGACCATCCCCCCTGGGGGGTGATTTCTCCCTTTCTATCTCTCTGTCTCTGT